TCATAAGGTCACAGGGTTTCCTTGTTGGAATGGAAAGAAAACTGGTCTAGGAACCAAGGCACCTGATTTCTAGTCTTCACTTTTCAGCTCATTACCTCTGTGACCTTAGAAAAAAGTCATTTAAGCTTTTTGGTCCTTAGTTTAGTGCATCAGAAATGCACATAGGAAGTGCTGCTGCAGTGGCTGGGGTGGGACTTCATCCTTCCTGTTCTGTCGGAATCATTTGCTTCTCAGGGACTTCCCTGGTGGTCCATTGGTTAAGACTCTGTGCCTCCAATGCTGGGGGTGTAGGTTTGATCCCTGGTCAGGAAACATAAGACGATTGGAACTAAGATGTCACATGCCATGGGGCCATACCTTCTCTGTCCCATACTGTGGAGAAGTTTAGAAGACTTAAATTTGTTTCAGAGAAGGCTTTGAAGAGAAGGGGCTTATTTGGTATTACGATAAGAGGGAAGAGGTAAGAGAAAAATACTATTTAATGTTTCATGAGTTTCACTCTGTGTCATTCACTATCTTAATACTCAAGATATTTCTATATATTAATCTTTTTGATTGCCACAAAAAGTTATGAGGCAGATACTTATCCACTTGACACACGTAGTGAAACAGCACACATGAGCTCAAACAATTGGCCAGTGTTATACATGTAGTGAAACTATGTCTGAATTCAGAATTCATGATTTTTATAACTACACTATATTGCTTCCAGTGACCAAAGAATTCTGAAGAACCAGTTAGAGAAAGCAGGCTTATTTGTGGTCAGACAAGGAGCTGCTAGGGTCAGCTGAGGCTGAGACAGCATTTTGGAGTGACCTTCACTTGGCATCTTCTAGGCAAGCTCCAGATATCTTTTCAATTATCCACAGAATATGAACTCCTTATCTTATGAAAGGACTATGGTTACAAGGGAAGGAAAGAATCCGTTTAATAAAGTATAAGACCTAATTTTAAAAAAAACCATGCACCCCAATGTTCATTGATGAAACTAGAGAATGTCATACAGAGTGAGGTAAGTCAGAGAAAAGCAAATATTGTATGTTAATTCATATATGTGAAATCTAGAAAAATAGTATAGATATTTGCAAAGCAGAAATAGAGACACAGATGTAGAGAACAAATGTATGGATACCAAGGGGAAATGGTAGGGTGGGAGGAATTGAGAGACTGATATTGACACATATATACTACTTATACTGTGTATAAAATAGATAACCTATGGTATAGCACAGGGAACTCTACTTAATGCACTGTGGTGACCTGAATGGGAAGTAAGTAAGTACACGTGTAAATGATTCATTTTGCTGTACAGTAGAAACTAATACAACATTGTAAAGCAACTATATGCCAATAAAAATTTAAAAAATAAAATATGAGACCAATATTGCTTTATCTAAGAGTGAAACATACAGCTCATTGTTAGCAATAATGCATATTAATAGTTTGATTCAACTGAAATAGCTATGGTTTATTGAACTGTTTGTTACTCTGTGTTGGGAACTCTTTGAAACACTTTATAGCTCCAACACATTTACACTTCATGCACAAAAATTTTTAGATAGCTCTTTTCTGGCTGGAACCATGAAGTGTGCAGAAGAGGGGAAAAAAAAGGTTCCTACTGTGCCTGAAACCCTTATGAAAAAGCAAAACAATTTCACAGAACTTAAGGTCAAGCACCTGAGAAAGAAGTTTGCCCAAAAGATGCTTCGAAAGGCAAGGAGGAAGCTTGTCTATGAAAAAGCTAAGCATCACCACAAGGAATACATGCAGATGTACAGAACTGAAATTCGAATGGCTCGGATGGCACAAAAAGCTGGCAACTTCTGTGTACCTGCAGAACCCAAATTGGCATTTGTCATCAGAATCAGAGGTGTCAACGGCATGAACCCAAAGGTTTGAAAGGTGCTACAGCTCCTTCGCCTCCAGCAGATCTTCAATGGCACCTTTGTGAAGCTCAACAAGGCTTCAGTTAACATGCTGAGAATTGTGGAGCCACACAAGCATGGGGGTACCCAAATCTGAAGTCTGTAAATGAATTGATCTACAAACGTGGTTATGGAAAAATCAGCAAGAAGCAAATTGCCCTGACAGGTAACATGTTGATTGCTTGATCTCTTGGGAAGTATGGCATCTTCTGCATGGATGATCTGATTCATGAGATCTATACCATTAGAAAACATTTCAAAGAAGCAAACAATTTCCTGTGTCCCTTTAAATTGTCTTCTCCACAAGGTGGAATGAAGAATGAGACCACTCATTTTGTAGAAGGTGGAGATGCTGGCAACGGGGAAGACTAGATCAACAGGCTTATTAGAAGGGTGAATTAAGGTATCTACCAGGATTATTTTTATAATCTGGTCAGTTAATAAACAATTGAAACAAGTTGAAAACAAACTTTGAGATAGATACTGTCATTATCCACATTTCATAGATGGGGAGATTGAGGCAGAGAAATTAAGGAGTTTGCCCAAAGTCACACTACTAGCAGCTAAGATCTGCCTGGATTCAGAATTCACACTTTAAACCACACGTGTTACTGCAGTTTACCCTTGAACAATGCTGCAGGGAGGGGCACTAACCTTGAGCAGGAGAAAAACCCATTTATTATTGCAGTCAACCCTTCATATCAGTGATTTTGTATTCTCAGATTGAACGAGCCAAATGTGTTGTAGTCTGAATAACTGGATCTGTACAGTTCATACCCATGTTCAAGGCTCTACTACTCAAAAGAGGAATTTATGGGAGATGTAAGAGATGTTGATTTGATCCCTGGGTTGGGGAGATCCCCAACTCAGGAGGAGGAGATGGCAACTCACTCCAGTATTCTTGCCTGGGAAATCCCATGGAAAGAGGAGCCTAGCAAACTCAGGGGTCACAAGAGTCAGACACGACTTAGTGACTAAACAATAAAAACACAAAGATCCTATTACTAGTAAAGAAAAGAGTTAGCCTTTGCTGAAGTAAAGTACAGAAGGGTGAAATCAGAGCAAGGTGACAGTATCTCATTAATGAGCACAAGCGACAGGTTGTATGGTATGGAAAGCAAATATATGTAAAGAAATATCAGGAATGTTGGGGAACATAGCATGGCCTATTTCTAGGGTAAACTTTCTCAGATCATCCTTCTAGTATGAGTTTACTAGTATGACTTTAAGCTAGTATGACTTTAAGAACTTCATCTGCTCATGAACACTAAAGGATCCAAACCTACCAGTCAGACTTTATTTTCTTGGGCTCCAAGATCACTGCCGATGGTGACTGCAGCTGTGAAATTAAAAGATGCTTGCTCCTTGGAAGAAAAGCTATGATAAAACTCTGCTATATTAAAAAACAGAGACATTACTTTGTTGGCAAAGGTCTGTATAGTCCAAGCTCTGGTTTTTTCAGTAGTCTTGGATGGATGTGAGAGTTGGACGATAAAGAAGGCTGAACGCCCAGGAGTTGATGCTTTTCAATTGTGGTGTTGGAAAAGACTCTTAAGAGTCCCTTGGACAGCAAGGAGATCAAACCAATCAATCGTAAAGGAAATCAACCCTGAATATCCATTGGAAAGCCTGATGCTGAAGCTGAAGCTCCAATACTTTGGCCACCTGACATGAAGAGCCCAGTCTTTGGAAAAGACCCTGATTCTGGGAAAGATTGAAGGCAGGAGGAGAAGGGGATGACAAAGGATGAGATGATTGGATGGCATCACAAACTCAATGGGAGTTTGAGCAAGCTCCGGGTGATGGTGAAGGACAGGGATGCCTGGTGTGCTGCAGTCCATGGGGTCACAAAAGGTTGGACATGACTGAGCAACTGAACAACAACAACAGTCTTTGAACAAAATGTGATTATATCATTAGTTCCCAGACAGCATGAAAATCAACTGGGATCTTTTAAAAATCCTATGCTAGGAATACAATTCAGTCTAATTAAATCATAATCTATGTTGAGAAGCAGTCACCAATATTTTTTAAAGACTCCCAGGTGAGTCCAATGTGAAACCAATGTTGAGGACCAGTTACATGGATGTTTCACACAACATGCATAAGCAGATATGAAAGATGCAACAGTTCTGTGGACAATAGACATGAATTTTGGAAAGAAATGCAGATTTTTAAAATTTATTTTTTAATTGGAGTATAGTAGCTTTGCAATTTTGTGTGAATTTCTGCTGTACAACATTGTGAATCAGGTATGTGTATACCTATATCCCCTCCCTAAGGATTGAAGATTTTAATTGTTAAGAAAAGGATTTTTACATGTCTCCAGGATGTCTGGGTCCAGCAATACGACCCAGCAATCCCACTGCTGGGCATACACACTGAGGAAACCAGAGTTGAAGGAGACACATGTACCCCAATATTCATTGCAGCACTGTATACAAATAGCTAGGATATGGAAGCAACCTAGATGTCCATCGGCAGATGAATGGATAAGAATGCTGTGGTACATATACAACAGTGGAATATTACTCAGCTATTAAAAAGAATTCATTTGAATCAATTCTAATGAGGTGGGTGAAACTGGAGCCTATTATACAGAGTGAAGTAAGTCAGAAAGAAAAACACCAATACAGTGTATTAACACATATACATGGAATTTAGAAAGATGGTAATGATGATCCTATATGTGAGACAGCAAAAGAGACACAGAGATAAAGAATAGGCATTTGGACTCTGTGGGAGAAGGTGAGGGTGGGATGATTTGAAAGAATAGCATTGAAACGTGTATGTTACCATATGTGAGATAGATCACCAGTCCAGGTTTGATGCATGAGACAGGGCACTCAGGGCCAATGCACTGGGATGACTCTTAGGGATGAGATGGGGAGGGAGGTGAGAGGGGGGTTCAGGATGGGGGACACGTGTACACCTGTGGCTGATTCATGTTGATGTATGTCGAAAGCCATTGCAATATTGTAAAGTAATTAGCCTCCAATTAAAATAAACTAATTAAAAAAAAGGAAAGAAAGAGAGTCTATAGCTATAACAAGAAACTTCCCTGGTGGCTCAGATGGTAAAGTGTCTTCCTACAATGTGGAAGACCCGAGTTCGATCCCTGGGTTGGGATTCAATCATGCAGTGATTATAATGATAGAATCCCACAATAATCCCTCAACCCCATTAAAATATACCAAATGAAGCAACAAACTGATCAGAAACATTGTTAAGTTTTGAAAGGCACAAGAGCTACAAATTCAAAGAACCAAATAGGCACAACTTTGAATTCCAACTGTTTTTACTGGCTCTTCTAATCTATGCAAACAAGATGCACAGATGTTGAGGTTAGGTTGTTTTGCTGAGGAGTCCCCACATGGCCCTCTTGATGTCCCTGTTCCTCAGGCTGTAAACAAAGGAGTTCAGTATGGGGGTGACCACAGTGTATATCACTGAGGCCACTGCACTGTCCCTGGGAGATGAGACAGTAGAACTGAGATGCACCCCAAGGCCTGTTCCATAAAATAAACACATGATTGCCAGGTGACAGCTACAGGTGGAGAAGGCTTTATACTTTCCACCTGTTGACGGGACTCTCAGAATAGAAGAAACAATGTGAGTATAAAAGAAGAGGATCCCTGTGAATGGAAAACCACCAAAAATGGCACCAATAAAATAGATTAATGTGTTACTGCTGGGGATTTCAAAACAGGCAAGGCTAAGGAGCTGAGAGGGGTCACAGAAGAAATGAGAAATTTCCATATCCAGGAAGAAGGCAAGTTCTAACACCATCAAACTATGAAGACGGTAGGCCAAAAGGCTGATGAAAAATGACACCAAAATTAGCAGGCTGCAGAGGCGTGGGTTCATGATGACTGTGTAGTGCAGAGGGTGACAGATGGCCACAAACCAGTCATAGGCCATGGCAGTCAGGAGTAGATTATCCAAACATCCAAAAATGGTAAAAATAGACATCTGAGTCAGGCAGCTCATGTAAGAGATGAGTCTGCTGTGAGTTTGAATGTCCACAATCATCTTGGGGACAGTGGTAGAGGTGCAGTCAATGTCAGTCATGGATAGGCTGGAAAGGAAGAAGTACATGGGAGTGTGGAGGTGGGAATCAGAGATGAAGGCCAGGATGATGAGCAGGTTCCCAAGCACAGTGACCAGGCACATGGACAGGAAGAGGCTAAAGAGGAGGGGCTGCAGGTCTGGATCATCCGAGAGGTCCATGAGGAGGAATTTGAGACAAGTGTTACATTCTCTGGTCCCATGTGGCTTAGACACCACTGGAAAGGAAAAGAGGTTTCAAATAAATGAAACAAGCCAACAAGGAGTCAGCACTGTCTTTTTGTTAGATTCAAGCAAGTCAAATCATTCACGCTTGAGGATCATACATTCCAGTAACTTCAGTGATATTTCTTAGTTCTGGCAAACTTATTTTCTTTTACTTTCTCTTTTCTCACTGATGTCTTGGCTATTTACCTGTTTCTATGTACAGTCATTTTACAGACAATAGGCCAAAGTATCATAAAGAAGGAGCCAATTTAGAATTAATCATGAACACAGTAGAATATCAGTCACCACCTTTGAAAGAAATATATGGAAGAAGAAATATGTTTCTTATATGCATGCCTATATCCATAGCAGCAGTATTCACAGTGGCCAAAACATAGAAACAACCTAAATGTCTATTGACAGATGAATAGATAAGTAATATATGGATAAAGAAGATATGGTACATATACACAGTGGAAATCTACTCAGCCATAAAAAACCAAAATATTGCCATTTGCAGCAATATGGGTACAACTAGAGATTATCACGCCAAGTGAAGTAAGTCAGAAAAAGACAAACACTATAGGCTATCAGTTATATGTGGAATATAAAATTTGTCACAAATGAGCCTATCTACAAAACAAAAACAGATTCACAGACATAGAGAACAGGCTTGTGGTGGCCAAAGGGGATGGAGCTAAGCAGAGGGATGGACTGGGAGTTTGGGGTTGGTAGATACAAACTAGTAAATTTAGAATGGATAATGCTTTTGAACTGTGGTGTTGGAGAAGACTCTTGAGAGTCCCTTGGACTGCAAGGGGATCCAACCAGTCCATTCTAAAGGAGATCAGTCCTGGTGTTCATTGGAAGGACTGATGCTGAAGCTGAAACTCTGGTACTTTGGCCACCTGATGTGAAGAACTGACTCATCTGAAGAGACCTTGATGCTGGGAATGATTGAAGGTGGGAGGGGAAGGGGATGACAGAGGATGAGATGGTTGGATGGCATCACTGACTCAATGGACATGAGTTTGAGTAAATTCTGGGAGTTGCTGATGGACAGGGAGGCCTGGTATGCTGCAGTCCATGGGGTCACAGAGTCAGACATGACTGAGCAACTGAACTGAACTGAAACAACAAGGTTTAATACATAGCACAAGTACTATATTCAATATCCTGTGATAAGCCATAACAGAAAAAAAATATAAAAATATGCATATGTGTATAACTGAGTCACTTTGCTGTACAGCAGAGAATGACACAACACTGTAAATCAACAATACTTCAATTTTTAAAAACTGAAAAAGGGGAAGGAGAGGGTGGGAACAAGTTGAGAGAGTAGTGTTGAAGCATATACATTACCTTATGAAAATAGCTAGCAGGTGGGAAGCTGTTGTATACCACAGGGAGTGCAGCTTTGTGCTCTGTGAAGACCTAAAGGGGTGGGATGGGATGAGGGGTGGGAGGGAGTTTCAGAGGGAAGGGATATATGTATATTTATAGCTGCTTCACTTTGTTGTACAGCAGAAACTAACACAACATTGTAAAGCAATTATTCTGCAATTAAAAATAAAAAAAAGGAATGAAATATCTTTCTCTGTTAACCCCCTCCCCCCCTCCACACCACTTCTGGGAATTCTCTGATAGTCCATTGGTTAGGAAACAACATTTTCACCTCTGTGGGCCAGAATTAATCCCTGGCTGGGGAAATAAGATCCCTCCAGTGGCATGGCCAAGAAAAAAAAAAAAAAAACCACAAACCATTCCAATTAAAAGATACCAGAAAGTAGTCAAACATGGCTTATCCAAATGTAGTGCAAGAAATTCCCTTAATTTGGAATATTTATAAACACCTTATAACCTTATGTATATTCTAAATTAAAGTCAAATGTACTTCATCAGTTAGAATTTTGATAGCATAGTCATCTCCATGGATTTTCATCATTACTTGGTTTTCTAATAGCCATCCTCCATGAAAATAAGTGCTCACTCCAGTATGTGAGTTGTCTTTTAAAAGTCTTTTCAAATATTAATCCTAATACTAAGCTTTTTATTCAGTTGTTTGTATAAACTTTATACAACTTCAGGGACAGTCTTATGTTTGAGATTGCTTTCTGTTTTTCTTGTTTCCATTATGTAGTGGCCTGGTTATTGTTGCTGTTCAGTTACTAAGTTGTGTCTAACTCTTTGCCACCCCATGGACTGCAGCATGCCAGGCTTCTCTGTCCTCCACTATCTCTCAGAGTTCACTCAAATTCATGTCCATTGAGTCAGTGATGCTATCTAACCATCTCATTCTCTGATGCCCCCTTCTCCTTTGCCTTCAGTCTTTCCCAGCATCAGAGTCTTTTCCAATGAGTTGGCTCTTCGTATTAGGTGGCCAAGATATTGGAACTTCAACTTCAGCGTGAGTCCCTCCAATGAATATTCAGGGTTGATTTCCTTTAGGATTGACTGGTTGGATCTCCTTGCAGTCCAAGGGATGCTTAAGAGTCTTCTCCAACACCACAATTCAAAAACATCAATTCTTTGGTGATCAGCTCTATTTATGGTCCAGCTCTCACATCTGTACCTGACTACTGGAAAAACCAGAGCTTTGACTATACACAAGTTTGTTGGCAAAGTGATGTCTTTGCTTTTTAATAGACTGTCTAGGTTTGTCATAGCTTTCCTTTCAGGAACAAGAGTCTTTTAATTTTGTGGCTGTAGTCACCATCCACAGTGATTTGGAACCCAAGAAAATAAAGTCTGTCACTGCTTCCAGTTTTCCCCCTTCTATTTGTCATGCAGTGATGGGGCTGGATGCCATGATCTTAGTTCTTTGAATTGAGTTTTAAGCCAAGTTTTTCCACTCTTCTCTTTCACCCTCATCAAGAGACTCTTTAGTTGTTCTTCACTTTCTCCAGTTAAAGTGGTATCATCTGCATATCTGAGGTTGTTGATATTTCTCCCGGAAATCTTGATTCCAGCTTGCATGATGTACTCTGCATTTAAGTTAGAGTAACAGTATACAACCTTGTTATCCTTTCTCTATTTTGGACTGGTCCATTGTTCCGTATCTGGTTCTAACTGTTGCTTCTTGTCCTGTATAAAGATTTCTCAGGAGACAGGTAAGTTGGCCTGGTATTCTCATCTCTTTAAGACTTTTCCACAGTTTTTTGTGATTCACACGAAGGCTTTTGTGTAGCCAATGAAGCAGATGTTTTTTGGAATTCCCTTGCTTTTTCTATGATCCAACAGGCATTGGCAATCTGATCTCTGGTTCTTTTGCCTTTTCTAAGCCCAACTTGTTCATCTGAACATTTAAACATGCTTCTAACTCTAAAATGTGTGGAGCATTGTTTCCTCATCAAACCAACCCTTTTATTTAACATTCAGTTTCTACAACAAGGGAAGCCCCTAAGTGACATCTGAAACCCAGTGTTCTTAAACCTATTTAAGAACTTTCCATGTCGATCCTTCCTGATTAAAGGGGTTCCAATTGTCCTTAAATCTGCTTCCTACAGGCAACTTAGGACTTCCTTTCTCCTGTCAGGAAACAACATGATTTAATTTGAGAAAATGTGAAAGAGAACAAACACCTGGATCATTTTCTTCATCTACAGATAGGGATTAAAATGGAACCAACTTTGCATGGTGGTTGTAAGAAATTAAATAATAAAGTGCTTAGACCAGTGGCTCTCACTCCTGATTGAGCACTGTAATATTTATAATTACCTGTAGATCTATTAAAATATATGTGGATGAAGGAGAGAGTGAAAGAAGCAAAATCTAGAAGGAAGAGCAAGAGAGAGATCTGTGCTAAATTATAATATTCTGATCCTTCTATGAGCCCTACCTTGATCTCAGCTATCCTTCGTAGAGCCAATGCAGCAAGAGCACCACTTACCCTTCACTGAGGTCTACCAGGAACCTCCAAAGGAGAGAGGATGGTGCACATGGAACCTTTGCTGGAAGTGACCAGGTAAATAAAATAACAGGAAAGAATTCTGGCTGAATGTCCCATGTCTGGAGTCTAAATGCCTGGATTCAAACCTGAATTCACTCCTATTTTACCCATGATCTAATACAAGTTATATTTAAATGATATGTTCCCTTGTTCACCCATAAAATGACAATTATATTCATTCCTAAGTCTTTGTGGTAATTATGCAGATGAAATGAAACAAGATACATGGAACATTTAGCTCAGAGCCTGGCACTTAGGAAATCCTTAATGAAGAATCATGATACCATATTTGCTGTTTTCATCCTCATCCTCACTTTATGATTTTGGAGTACTTAGGGGACAGTTTAGAGGGTCCCATTCCTGCTATCATGGGGGTCATGCCTATGGGAACTAGAACCAGTGTGGGAGGAAAGCAAAACTCCGAATGAGAGTTCTTGGAACCCCAACAGAACCAAGGACATAAATGTCATAGTGCCCAGAGTTGAAACTTTGCATACTGGTGTACTACTGAAAGGTTGTTGCTGAACCACGAAAGACGCTGGGATTCTTGGCCTCCGGAGGAGAATAACTCAATCCGGGGCCAGAGACAAGGCTTGATCGCTCAGAACTTTTGTGTAATAAAGTTTTATTAAAGTATAAAAGAGATAGAGAAAGCTTCTGACATAGACATCGGAAGGGGGCAGAAAGAATACGCACCTGCTAGTCTTTAGCTGGATGTTACATAGTTACTAGCAGTCTGTTAATGAAAGATGGGAACGTCTTAAAACTCAGAGAATGGTACCAGGCCCCTCACCCACAAGATGTATTTTGGGATAATCTTGGCACCAGATGAGCCATTCAGGGCCATAAAACGATTGACTTGACTCTTGTAGAAAGGCAGATTACCATACAAATACTTTCGTTCACATAGATTAGGAGAACAATGTCTGAGTATAACACACTGGTTTGTCAAGTCAGTTCTGAGCCTTTAGGCAGAAGGCTAAAGACATAGACATGAAGACAGACTTAAAGACAGAGTTTGGGGTAAATGTATAGTACATTAACATAGCTTAAGACAAATATTTCCATAAGAAAAATGCATTGGTTAGCTCAAGCTTTGAGAATAGTTAAGTTCAGGTGGAACCAGGTGTCATTATGGCAACACAGTATTTTAAGAGAAACCTCTTTTTAGATTTGCATAGAGAAGGGGAAAAAAATACCACTAGTTTGTTTCCTTGTGCTGCTTAAGAGAGAGATAAAAAAAAGTCTGACATTTGCAGCCTATTTCCTTGACTTGGAGACCCCTGGCTTTCCTGCCTGTTACTCTCTCATTACCATCTGTCAATTGCAATTGTTTTGTTTGCTCTGACAATGTGGAAACAAAGGTCCTGAAATCTTTTCCATTCACTGTCTCCATGGCACTCACTGGGCTGCACTAAGACCCTGCTGGCCCATGACCAAGGGCTGTGAGTCTGCCACTCCTCTCTACCTGGTGAGCAATGATGGCTGAAGCTCTGGCCTCAGAATTGGCACAAAGATAGACTCCAGCCAGAGCCTCCTGTTGGAGATGATTACTCTGGGAGGAGACACAGGTGTGGAGCCTACTGGACATGACCCACAACCTGAAGGGCTGGAGACACAGGCTGACTCTACAGTTTTGTGGCCTTGAAAGCTTGATACACAGAGCTCCTAATTAGCCAGATTGATCCATGAACTGCATTCCCTGAAGACTTCACAATCTTTGGAGAATCACAAGAAAGTGTCTGTCAACTCAATCACTCTGAGCCCTACCCCTTCCAAGGGGAAAGTTCACTTGGCCTGCTGTCATCACATATCCAAAAGGAAGGCCCTTGCTACAAAGTTCAGCCTTATTTTCTCAGCTAAAAATTCAATTGCAATATTGAGTACTAAAACGGCCTCAGTGATGAAATAATATCAGGAATATTGGGATCTTTGTTGTTAACGTTTATCATGCTAAAATCTGACAATCTTTCCATGTTTGAACACTTTGATCTGACCAAGGAGAGCATCACACTTTTCTTAATGTAAGTCCTTCTAATTCCTGTGAAGTTTAGTCCTTAGTAATATTTTGTTGCTATTTTAAGTTATACCCTTGTTTTATTTATTGCTAAAATTGGCTTATACTGGCATTGTAGAAAAAAATTGAATTGTATATTTCCAGTGTCCGCCACTCTTTATTCTAGGAGTGTCTCTAGTTGTTTATTTTTAGTGAAAGTCGCTCAGTCGTGTCTAACTCTTTGTGATCCCATGGGCTATACAGTCCATGGAATTCTCCAGGCCAGAATACTAGAGGGGGTAGCCATTCCCTTCTCCAGGGGATCTTCCCTACCCAGGGATCAAATCCAAGTCTTCCACATGGCAGGTGGATTCTTTACCAGCTAAGTCATCAGGAAAGCCCGTTTTTCTTGAGTAGAAGTATATTATCTGAAATTATTTATCATTGTGGTTTTTCACTTTTCATAGTCTATCTCTCCTTGTAACACAATAAAATAGTGATAGAGTGGCAACAAACAAAGAAAAAAAAAGCAATTTAAAACTTGGTAAAAAATGTGGATAGACATTTTCAAAATACAATATACAAATTATCAACTGGCACATGAAAAATGCTCAATGTCACTAATTATCAGGGAAATGCCAATCAAAACCACAGAGAGATATCACTTCAGACTTGTCAGAATGGCTGTTTTCAAAAAGATGAGATATAAATGGTGATGAGGATATGGAGCAAAGGGAACACTCCTCCACTTCTGTTGAGAATAAAATTGGTGCAGCCACTATGGAAAACAGTACAGAGACTTCTCAAAAATTAAAAATAGAATCACTAGCAATTCCATTTCTGGATATGGAAGAAAATGAAAACACTAAGATGAGAAGATATTTGCACCCCTATGTTCATTGTAGCATCATTTACAACAAGTTTAGATATGGAAGAAGCCTAACTGCCTACCAACAGATGAATGGATAAAGAGACATGGTATATTTATACACACAATAGTGTATTACTCAGCCATGAAAAAGAATTCCATCTTGCAATTTGCAACAATGTGAATGGACCTAGAGGGTATTATGCTAAGTAAAGTAAGTCCAACAGAGAAAGAAAAGTACTGTGTGATTTTACTTGTATGTGGAATCTAAAAATCAAAACAAATAAATATAATTAAATAGAAACAGTCATAGGCAGAGAGAACAAATGGGTGGTTGCCAGAGAGGGAAAGAGGGGAACAGAAATAGGTGAAGACATTAAGAGGTACAAAGTTTTAGTTTACAAAATAAATAAGTCACTGATATAAAATGTACCATGTAGGAAATGTAGTTGATAGCTGTGTTATATCTTCGTATGGTGACAGATGACAACTAGACTTAGCATGATGGTCATTTTGAAATGTATAGAAATATTAAATCATTATATTGTGTACCAGGAACTAACATAGTATTGTAGGTCAATTGTACTTCAAAAAACAAACATACAAACTCATAGAAAAATAAATACAATTGGTGGCTACCAGAGGTGGGAGTTGGGGAAGAGAGAATTGGATGAAGGTAGTCAAAAAGTACAAACTCTGAGTTATAAAATTTAGCTACTATAATATAAAGCTACTAGGCACATTGCTATACTTAAAACGGATAACCAACAAGGTTCTACTGTATAGCACAGGAAACTCTGCACAATGATGTGTGGCAGCCTGGATGGGATGGGAGTTTGGGGGAGAATGGATACATGTATATATATGGCTAGTCCCTTTTCTGTCCATCTGAAACTATTACAACATTGTTAATCAACTATAACCCAATACAAAATAAAAAGTTAAAAAAAATAAGTTCTAGGGATGTAATGTACAACATGGACAAAGATAATATTGTTATATACTATATATGAAAGTTGATAAAAGAGTAAATTCTAAGAGTTCTCACAATGAAGAGAAGTGTTTTTTTTTTTTTCCTGTTTCTTTAATGTTCTATCTATATGAGATGAAAGTTATTCACTAAACCCATTATGGTCATTGTTTCATGATGTGTTGAAGTCAAATCATGTGTTAAGTCAAACCTTTGATGTGTTAAGTCAAACCTTAAACTTATACAATACTGTATGTCAGTTATCTCTCAATAAAACTGGGTTGAGGAGAAAAAGATTGAGTGACTCTCATGGCACCATTGCTAATAGTCTAGTGAAAGTGTTAGACACTCAGTTGTGTCTGACTGCTACCGCATGGGCTGTAGTCTATCAGGCTCCTCTGTCCATGGGATTCTCTAGGCAAGAATACTGAAGTGGGTTGCCATTCCCTTCTCCAGGGGATCTTCTCGACCCAGGGATCAAACTCCAGTCTCCTGCATTGCAGGCAGATTCTTTATTTTACTAGTATCTGGGTTCAGTTCAGTTCAGTTCAGTCGCTCAGTCATGTCCGACTCTTTGCAACCCCATGAACTGCTGCACTCCAGGCTTCCCTGTCCATCATCAACTCCCGGAGTTTACCCAACTCATGTCCACTGAATAAGTGATGCATCCAACCATCTTATCCTCTGTTGTCCCCTTCTCTTGCCCTCAATCTTTCCAAGCATCAGGGTCTTTTCAAATGAGTCAGCTCTTCGCATCAGGTGGCCAAAATATTGGAGTTTCAGCTTCAACATCAGTCCTTCCAATGAACACTCAGAACTGGTCTCCTTTAGGATGGACTGGTTGGATCTCCTTGTAGTCCAAGGGACTCTCAAGAGTCTTCTTCAACACCACAGTTCAAAAGCATCAATTCTTTGGTGCTCAGCCTTCTTTACAGTCCAACTCTCACATCCATACATGACTACTGGAAAAACCATAGCCTTGACTAGATGGACTTTCGTTGACATGCTGTCTGCGATGGTCATAACTTTCTTTCCAAGGAGTAAGTGTCTTTTAATTTCATGACTGCAATCACCATCTGCAGTGATTTTGGAACCCCCAGAAGTAAAGTCAGCCACTATTTCCACTGTTTCCCCATCTATTTGCCATGAAGTGATGGGACTGGATGCCATGATCTTAGTTTCCTGAATGTAGTATCTGGATATCTGGATTCAAACTAGGCAGTCTAGCCTCAGCTCCAACATTGTTAATCACTAAGATGCAGAATTTTATTCTGTTTGAATCTGTGAGTTAAATACATTTCCAATTTTTTGTATTATCATACAATGCACAATTAATATTCTTGTAGGTTTCCTCATTTACATGTGCAAATGGTCTTCCATAATAGATAATGAGGGGCTTCCCTGATAGTCCAGTGGTTAACACCTCACCTTCCAATGCAGGGGATGAGAGTTTGACCCCTGGTTGGGGAGCTAAGATCCTATACAACTCAAAGCCAAAAAAAAAAAAAAAAAAAACAAAACATAAAACAAGAAGTAATATTGTAACACATTCATTATTTCTGTGGATGGTTGAAAAGCTTTCTTTTGCTTGCCTAGAAGATGCCAAGTGAAGGTCACCCGCAAATGCTGTCTCAGCCCCAGTTGACCCTAGCAGTTCCCTAACCAACCATGCATAGCCTGCTTTTCCTAACTGGTACTTCAGAATTTTCTGATCTCTGGAGGCAGTATAGTGTAATGATAAAAACCATGGGTTTTGGATTCAGACATAGTTCCACTACATACTAAATATATTAACACTGGCCAGTTTTGAGTTCATTTGTGCTGTTTCACTGTGTGTGTTATGTGGATAATAAATATTTCTTATCTTTAGACAATAGCCATTCTGACAAGTGTGAAGTGATATCTCATTGTGGTTCAATCCCTACTGCAGGAATTGAGACATCATATTTTACACTATGTGGCCAAAAACAAATAAATAAAAATGAGGAAAATTAACAAAAAATCCTCAGCTCAGGACACATGCAAGTCTAATTAAATCAGAATCTTTGACAATGAGACTCAGTTGTCAGTATATTTTAAAATTTATTTTATTGTAGTATAGTTGATTTACAATGTTGGGAAATAGTATTTTTAAGCCTTCCAGATGATTTTGATAAAAGCCAAGGCTGAGAAGCAATGACATGCATCCTCATACATAGACTGCATGCACAAAATTAAAACATAGTAATCCTCTGGAAAATAAACAACAGCTTTGGGAAAAATATATAATATTTAAATCTGTGAAAAGGGAGTTTTTTCATCTTTCTAGAATGTGGATCACCATGATAAACTAGATACTCCTCATTAGGTATAATAAGATTCAGTCAATCAGTAGTTCTAACGTCTACAGAATCCCAGGATACTCTCCCAGCCCCATTAAAAACATATCAAAAGAAGTAATATTCAGGTGTAAAACAAGGAGAGACAAGAAGGCCCTTCGTCTACAGAATCCCAGGATACTCTCCCAGCCCCATTAAAAACATATCAAAAGAAGTAATATTCAGGTGTAAAACAAGGAGAGACAAGAAGGCCCCAAGAGCTATAAAAATGATGTCATGAGAGAGGTAGAATTTTCAGATGTAAATGTTGCTACATTTTCCAACCTACACTCCAAATGGGTGACACAGATAATGAGACTAGAACATTTTGCTGGAAAACCTCCACATGGTCCTTTTGATGTGTCTGTTCCTCAGACTGTAGATGAAGGGGTTCAGCATGGGGGTGACCACAGTATACATCACTGAGGCCAATGCACCCTTCCTGGGAGATTCTGAGATGGTTGAGTTGAGGTACACACCAAGGCCGGTTCCATAAAATAAACAAACAACTGCCAGATGAGAACCACAGGTGGAGAAGGCTTTATACCTCCTACCTGATGTGATTCTCAGAATGGAGGAAAGAATTTTGTAGTAAGAGAAAAAGATTCCCAAGAAAGGTAGAAAAGCAAAAATGGCACCATCAAAATACGTGACTATGTTATTGGTGAAAGGATCAGAACAGGCAAGCTTGAGGAGCTGAGAAGGCTCACAGAAGAAATTAGAAATGTCAACATTCTCAAAGTAGGTAAGTTGTAGCACAATCAGATTGTGCACCTGGGAGTCCAAAAGGCTAAGAAAAAAAGACACCAAAACTAAGGAGCAGCAGAGGCGAGGGTTCATGATAACCGTGTAGTGTAGTGGGTGACAGATGGCCACAAACCTGTCATAGGCCATCACAGACAGAAGCAGACAATCCATACATCCAAAAAGGATAAAAATAGACATCTGTGTCAGGCAGCCTGCATAGGAGATGACTCTGCTGTGAGTCTGGATGTTCACAATCATCTTGGGGACCGTGGTGGAGACAAAACCGATGTCAGCCAAGGAGAGGTTGGAGAGGAAGAAGTACATGGGGTTATGGAGGTGGGGGTCAGAAGTGACAACCAAGATGATGAGCAGGTTCCCCAGCATGGTGACCAGGTACATGGCCAGGAACAGGACCCAGAGCAAAGGCTGCAGTTCTGGATCATCTGAGAGGCCCAGGAGGAAGAATTCTGAGACACTGGTTAGATTTCCAGTCCTGTGTAGCTCAGACACCTTTGGAAAAAGAATATATGGCTGGAAAAATAGGAAATATGTTAATGGTCATGTAGTCCTGCATCCATATTTTGGATTCAAGCAATTCATTTCTAAAGAGCAACCCACTCCAGTGTTCTTGTCTGGAGAATTCCATGGATGAGGGAGCCTGGCAGGCTACAGTCTATGGGGCAACAAAGAGTTGGACATGACTGGGTGACTGAGCACCTTCAGCAATATTTCTCAGTGTGAGAAATTCTGTCTTAGAATTGTTTCCTCATTGGCCTCTATGTTATTCACTTTTGTCTATACACTCTTACATTATAAAACTTCATGAAAAGTGAAAGGAAACATTAGAGATAATACATCCATGATCTCAGTTAAATACAGCCTACTTTTTTAGAAATAACAGAATGAGAGATTCCCTTCTCCTTCTAATAAAATATATAACAATTAAAATATAAAGAAATTATGTCATTATATAAATCTTATTTTTTTTTCCAAATACAATTCTAGATATTTCCTTAATTTAGAATATTTACAAATATCTATGAAATGCAGGACTATGTCATCTGGATTCTAAATTAAAAATGAATCTTCATAATCAGAACACAGTTTATTTGATATTCAGAGTTTTATCATCTTTGATTTTCTGTCTTCCCTCTTTATGAAATGGGGATTACTCAAATACCAGAGTTGTCTTTTAGAAGTCATTTAGTGTATACTTCATATCTTTGGTGGACTTCAAATTTCAATCAATATTGTTTAATTAATTGCACATGGTGTGCTGGAGTGGCGAGCCCCTGGGAGGAGATAACCCATGTCCAAGGTCAGAAGTGGTGGCTAAGCTTTGCTGGACCAGCCGTGAGGATATACCTCACATCCAAGGTCAGAGAAACCCCAGTAAGGTGGTAGGCTCTGGAGCAGCTGTGAAGAGATATCCTACGTCCAAGGGCAAAGAAGAAGTCCCAGCAAGACGGTAGGAGGGGCTAATTCACATTAGGAATCAAACCCCATTCCCGCCAGAGATGCTAAGAGGGCTCAAACAACCTTGTGCATACCAGGACCGACACCCCACAGAGACTGAGACAGAACTGTGTTTGAGCATTTCCAGTGGAGGTATGGGTCAGCAGTGGACTGCCACAGGGACCGGGCTCTGGATGCAGCAGACTTGGGTATGGCATAAACCTTCTTGGAGGAGGTTTCCATTAACCCCACCATAGAGCTGCCAGAACTTACACAGGACTGGGAAATAGATTCTCAGAGAGCACAACAGAACCTTGTGCACTAGGTCCCAGGAGAAAGGAGCAGTGACCCAACAAGAGACTGACCCAGACTTGCCTGTGAGTGTCCAGGAGTCTCTAGCAGAGGTGTGGGTCAGTGGTGGCCTGCTGCACGGTTGGGGGCACTGAGTGTAGCAGTACGTGCATAGGATCTTTTGAAGGAGGTCATCATTATCTTTATTACCTCCACCATAGTTTGGCCCCAGGTAAATAGCAGGGGGGGGGGGACACAGCTCCACCCTTCAACAGAAAATTGGATTAAGGATTTACTGATCATGGCCCCACCCATCAGAACAAGACCCAGATTGCCCCTCAGTCTGTCTCTCCCATCAGGAAGCTTCCATAAGCCTCTTATCCTTCTCCATCAGAGGGCAGGCAGACTGAAAACCACAATCAAAGAAAACTAACCAATCTAATCACATTGACCATAGCCTTGTCTAACTCAATGAAACTATGAGCCATGTCACATAGGGCCACCCATGACGGATGGGTCATGGTGGAGAGGTCTGACAAAATGTGGTCCACTGGAGAAGGGAATGGCAAACCACTTCAGTATTCTTGCCTTGAGAACCCCATGAACAATATGAAAAGGCAAAAAGATAGGACACTGAAAGATGAACTCCCCAGATCGGTAGTTGCCCAATATGCTGCTAGACATCAGTGGAGAAGTAACTCTGAAAACATGAACAGATGGAGTCAAAGCAAAAAGAACATCCAGTTGTGGATGTGACTGGTGATGGAAGCAAGGTCTGATGCTGTAAAGAGCAATACTGTATAGGAACTTGGAATGTCAGGTCCATGAATCAAGGCAAATTGGAAGTGGTCAAACAGGAGATGGCAAGAGTGAACGTCAACATTCTAGGAATCAGTGAACTAAAAAAGGACTGGAATGGGTGAATTTAACTCAGCTGACCACAAAAGAGTCTGAAATGCAGTACTTGGATGCATTCTCAAAAATGACAGATGATCTCTGTTCATTTCCAGGGCAAACCATTCAAGATCATGGTAATCCAAGTCTATGCCCTGACCAGTAATGCTGAAGAAGCAGAAGTTGAACAGTTCTGTGAAGACCTCAGTCAGTCAGTTCAGTCGCTCAGTCGTGTCCGACTCTTTGCGACCCCATGAATTGCAGCATGCCCGGCCTCCCTGTCTATTACCAACTCCCGGAGTTTACTCAGACTGATGCCCATCGAGTTGGTGATGCCATCCAGCCATCTCATCCTCTGTTGTCCCCTTCTCCTCCTGCCCCCAATCCCTCCCAGCATCAGGGTCTTTTCCAATGAGTCAAC